ACTCCCAGGTCCCTCTCCGTGGAGGTGCTTTCCAGCAGGTCGACCCCTAATCTGTACTGGTGCCTGGGGCTATTCCTCCCCAGGTGCAGCACCCTGCACTTTTCCTTGTTTTACGTCATGAGGTTCCTCTCTGCCCAACTCACCAGCCTGTCCAGGTCCCTCTGGATGGCAGCACAGCCCTCCGGAGTGTCGGCCGCTCCAGCCAGCTTGGTGAAGTCCTCTAAAGACTTCTAATCATGCAGCAGGAGGGCTGAATTTTAGATGAACATACTCCTGAACAGAGGGTGCAGCCCTCCCTCCATTTTTCTCCCAAAAGACTGGATTTATTTTAGCTATGGTTAGGATACAAGGTGGCAAACTTCACTAAATGCTCTGCTAACAAGACTGTGACTGACCTGCGTCGGAGTCAGTCTGAGCTAAGGCCTTAACTGGCCTTCAGACAATGCAAGCAACTTAACCAACCTACTGAAGGTTTTCATGGGCACCACCAATATTATGAAGAGTAAAAGAAAAATAATAATTTCATCACAGATACAACAAGTTGAATATAGTTAAATCCACACAGCATTAACAATTTCTTCTCTAAAAAGCAGCCTACTGTGGAATTTTCCCTTCCTAATGAATAACCATGCACATACTCAATTCTTTTACAAAAGAAATTTGGAGTTTGCACCTATGATAAATGGTCACAGATTTCAGTATTTTTGATTCTGCATACTAAGGAGGCACAACTATTAAAGAGGAATGTGGTACAAGTCTTTTCTTATTTAAGAGCCTGCATATTAATATAACTGTACCATTCAGGCTCCCGTGAGCTTGTACTGCACTTCTACAGAGATCACACCTAGAAAACATAAAGTTGCTTAGATGTAGCAGAGAATGAAGGTATCTGTTCATTTACAGAAAAAAAAAATCTGTCAAATGCTAATGAATGAAGAGTTTAGGAAGTTCTTTTGTTCAGGCTGATTTACAACCATTTTTAAGAGCTGTGAGGATATCACTTAGAAAGCAGTTCCGTCACCTAGAGGATTTCCGGCCTATAGAGTCATGCCAGGTACCAGTAAGTTTACATAGGATGTTCATTTTTCCGAGAGTTAAATTTCCCAAACAAGAGGATCTAGCCAGCAGTTGCTTTTCCTCCTGATGGCTTCTGATGCCAAGAGGGAAAATAGGCCCAGTTTTAAACTGKTTTGTTGCCAAGACCGCCACACTCCAGTGGATTATTTGGTTCTAGAGCAGGACAGTTAGGACCTAAAGCTTTAAAGGTACCGAGGCACCAAAAACAGACAGAACTTCCATTTCTCAGTAACTGGAGCTAAGTCACACGCTACCCATGCACCTTCCACAGCGAGGCAGGCATGGCTCTCAGGCACCCAAGCATGAAGAGTATTTTGCCCTCGTACTTGCTACAGAATTTGTGCAGTTTCCCATCAGGAGCAAGGCCAGGAAAAGCGCTGCATCTGTTTCGTCCACATAAACCTCTCTGCCACCAGTCCCTCCTGGGGAGTTTTCTTTAAAGAAAAGGACCACAAAGGTGCAGATGTATCTGATGTAACTTGGGATTTGAGGATTTTCTTGTCTGTGCTTATCTGTATACACTTTCCAACACAGCTGGCATTAATGTCATCTCTCACTTGCATTAAAGTGAAAGAGTCAAAAATATCACTTTTCACTAAAATGTGATGAGTCTCTGAAAGTTTCCTTTTACATGGGTGCTTTACACAGGTCCCTCTTTCCCGACATTGAAACATCTTTTCTGACCCAGGTCCTGTTTATGGCCTGGACATCTTCTCCAGGCCACAAACAATAAGGTCGTTCCAACATCCTCAAAGTTAACTATAAATGAGCTTGAGTGCTCCCACCATGTCTAATTCAGAGTAATTTAACATTCACCAGCAATTAGAAATTAGTAACATTCCAAGTATCAATTTTCAAAATACTTTTAGCCATTTTAGCTATTTAGTGACTTAAATCAACATTGAAGGAAAACATAAAACGAGATGTGGTTGAGATGTAATCTGTTTCAGCCAGTGCACACTTATGGACCTAAAGTTTCTTATTAGCATTTCTGGGCAGGCAGTTCATAGGTGCAGATTTTTCAGGACTCAAAAAATCTGATTTGTTGTGAACAAGATATTTTCAAAAAGAAGTATGGGCCTAAGAGGATCCAAAGATGTTCCTTTTCACACCATTTTCTCCATCGTATAAAATGCTTTTTTCTTTTAAATAAAAATCTGTCTCAAAAATTTYATTAAGTTCAGTGTTAAAAATCCAAGATCAGTATCAAATCCAAAAGCTACAGAAATACAAGCCAAGATGAATCTGTTTTAGAAACAAAACTTTCAGCTAAGTCTATGTTGTGCTCTTTGAGGAAAACATGGTTTTAATTACCCCTTATGATACTTAGCTGCTTTCTCACAGGGTTAAATACTTTGCTCTATTCGCTCACAAGATAGTTTTTSTTAGGTTTTTTTGAATGTCAAATTTACCCTAGTTGCATTTCTAAGTGACTTGCTACTACCAGGGCCTTAAAAAGAAGTCCATACTACCCATCTCTTTCTAAAAACACCGAGCTACTTTAGTTGAAACGAACGTGGTGATAAATGCAAACACTGTGTGACATTAAGCAATGAAATGAGCACTCAACCTTATACCAATAAATTAACATTATTGAAACTGGTTTATCTGAATAAATCTCAGACTTTTTCTTTTAGTGATATCACTAAGTCATCTGTATGCAAAAAAGCAATGTAGCTTAATCCATGGAATAACTGAAAGAGGCACCACAGTATGTAAAGGGTTTATTTCACCCCTGAACATCAGTGCCTTCAATTTACATTTCTAGACCAGGGAAGCCACCTGCTGACATTCATAGGTATTAACCAACACACTGTTTGCTTACTCTTACCAGCTTTGCCTGTGAACAGCCTGGAAATAATCTCAATTTCGAGGCGTGTCAAACCACAATTAAGAAATTCTTACATGTAGAGCTATTAAAAAAAATCTACCTTTGTGTGAATRTGAATAACTTTTTAAAACACTTGATTTTGTTACACACACACAAAAAGTTCCTTCCTGATGCTACCAAGGCTTTTTAATTTCACTTATCTTCCCCCAACATGCCTGAGGCTGCTGATAGACTGCTCTGTCCTCACAGCTTTTGCTATTTTACAAGCAAGAATAGTAAATAACCTTAATCAGAAGCCATCTATGTTAGAATACCATGAGCAGGTCTATATAAATAGCACTGATAAAGAATGAAAAAGAGCACCCGTAATTTATAGTTCTGATATGTTTATGTAAAAAAAATTCATTCCCTAGCTCAACTTCTGCAGACAAAACCAACTAAAACTACATAAGATTTTGAAGAAAACAAACACGTAACAATTGCATTGCAGAGAAACACCAAATTTATAGCTTGATTTAAAATATATGAAAGAAACCATGTCAAATGAAATTAATATTTAAACAAACACGTAAYTCTGGCCATAATTTCTACAAACATTTGTGTAACCTTTGTAAAGTTAGTTTTACTATCACATCACAACCGCTAAATGCCTGACATACATTCACTGCAGAATGGACATACAATAAGAATCCTATGCAAATTTTCAATGCAGATGCTCTCCGTGAATTCTATTCAGCTCAAATGTTCAGAGATTACTTCTCAACCTATGCTCCCAAGGAAATAATACAGCTGCAATTTGCACTGCTTTCCTGACTGAGAATCTTAAAATTAAATTGATAAACAGATTGTATTTTAAAATGCAGTCCTGTACTTGTGTCCTACAGGTAATCCCTATTTTTTTTTTCATAAAACTTTATTTATTCTACAATGATACAGTTCAAATTCAAATATTGTTTTGTAGAAAGAAAAAGTAGGGAGATTCCTATTTCTGGAAATGTTATTCCATTAAAATAGCTGTAAAATGGCATTTTGTTCATGTGTGTATTTTTCATATATGCTTCCTTTTGAGATGGAAATATGCATTAAAATGCTCTATAAATCTGAGTCAATAAAACTACTTTTTCTAAATATTTGYGCTAATCCTCTTACTTCTTGCTTCAGCTAAAAGAAACAAAACCATATTTTACAATTTAACTTCCCTTTCAACTTGTTAAGCATTAATTAAATGGTGCAAAGACTAAATTCCAAAGAAGAATGTAGATCAGGTTGACTTATATGTTCTGTAACGCTTGAAGTTATTATTTATATAAATAAATACATTGATAATTTAGAAAGAGGACTAAACTAATAGTTTTAAGATTCAGGCAATTAGTCAAATCATATTTTCACCCCAGAGCACTCTTATCTGATCCACAGAGATTAGCATCCTACCTTGAAGAAGCTTAAGAATTGAACTGCTGCTAATTGCTCCTACTGAGAGCGTCAACAYAAGGGAAGATCAAAATCTTTGATCAATCTCTTTGAAACTCTGTTGAAGCAACTCCTTTGGATTTCATAGAATTACCTAATAYTTCTTTCAGTGCTTTGGGACCTCCCAGTCTCAAAACAAATCAGTACTCTCCTTCTAACTGTACTACTTGCTGCTTTACAGATAAAAAGAACAAAAGAACAATTTATTTTTCTGATGATCAGTCCCATATTTCTAAAAAAACCAACAACTAAAACAACAAAGCACCCTTCCTCCCAAACCACTACATTTAGTAATTCCTCCAAAAAGGGTAAATATCTTTTCAGCTCTGGATCACAGATATTCTACAAATTCTTTGTGCAGTGACACCATTACTATGCCTATGGGGTTTTTTTTTTTTTTTCCCTTTTTTTCCCAGAGGGTAACAAAGCCAAGTTCCATGGTTCTACGTGTTGTCTTTGGACACAATCCACGTAACACTTTAAGGACAATAAGATTCAGAAAACATTTTTAGACTGATAGTGCATAACAAATGCAGGTTTTGCTTTTTTTTTTTTTTTTTTTTTTTAAACATACACTCAATGATTTATGAAGAAGAGCGTAACAATGTCTAGTTAAACTGACCTTTGGAAGTCTTCTAGTTTTTCTTAGCCCCTCACTGAGTTTATTCTCTTGTTCTTTAAATAGTGTGCAAGGGCCATCAGTAACATGACACTCTGAAACTTCATTTTCATCACCTAGAAACCAAGTGTATTAAATTTAGAAACTTGAAATAAAACTATGATCTTGCAAAATGAAATTGCTACTAATTATTTTATCTGTGTAAAGCTACACACAATTAAAAAAAAATCTAAGTTTTTACTCAAAGTTAATAATCTATACCAATTATTTCTCTATTTTATTTTCAGTTATTGAAAAGAACAGTCAAGCATCTAACTTCATAGTTCAATTTCTGATCTTGGAAACAAACTTGATACCATACTGCCAATTTTCAATACTTTCAATGTCATTTATTAGGCAAAACTGAAGTACCAGTTAAATTAGTTTATTACAAAAGTTATAATGTCTCTAAATACACACAATACAGCGGGTTTAAACCATGGATGTGTAGCTGTTTCCTTCCTTATGGAATGTCAGTGCTTTCAGGGCCCATCTGTGACAACCCAACCTGTKGTTGGGCACCATGTGTTTGGCAGCACATCCAGCCAGTTGTCCGCAGGCACGGGGCAGGTGACACAGACACCCTGCAGCCCCTGCCTTGCATGGTCAGGATGCAACATGACTACCACAATGCAGCAGGCACTCGCCCTGACTACTTCGTGAACATACATTTTAATTCTTCCACGCTGCCAGAATTACTTTTTTAAAACTTCTTAAATCATTTGAGGAAAATTTGCTTGCGCAAGATCTAAAATATAAATAAAGATGACAGACCACCACATAAGACACTAAACGYTTCCACTACTGATTAATTGCACCATTTCTTCCCACTGAAGTTCCAAGTTTCATATTGGTTTACACTCGGTGTCACAGTAACTTTGTGTAACAGAAGAAAACCAGAGCCTGTTATTTCCCAAGCTGAAGACATATCTACACAGCTGTCAGCTGGATGGCTTTCAGGTACAAGCATTAATTTAAACCCTGTATTTACCTAAACAGCATCATTTAACAAATGGGGAACTGATTATTTAGGTGTATTAGCTTTATTTTTCATTGCACAAGCGCTTATCTTCAATCACAGAGCAAAACTAATGACAAGATGAAGAAAAAAACCTTAGAGTGCCAAGCAAGAAAAGAAATTGATAAAGTTATTTTAATTATCAYGAAGGGATCAAGCACCATTTTATTGTTTGGGGTTTTTTTGGTTGGGTAGCTAGACATGGTACCACACTCCTTTGGTCASCCTTGGCGTGGATGCTCAAGCTCCTCAGCTCTTATCCTTCTTGACGGTATAATCCAAAACCCCACCTGCTTGGACTTCTTTCAAGTTCAGTTTCACTCCTCAGTGATTCTTTACGTTTACACAAAAGCAGTAGTAGGGAACCAGAACCATTGAATTACATATATAAGTATGTATGTGTTAGGCATTACATACATAAGCACCTTTCTTCATAATACAATTCCTCCTCATAATACAATTCCTCATTCCTCTGAGGACTTCTCAGCATTTCATTGCCTTTCCACAATGTAGCTCTAAAACCTTCTTCCTCGATTGTTGCTTTTTAGAAAACCTTGGTCTCAAGCAGGAAAGTTTTCATATTTAGCAGCCCTTCCTACATTATTTCAGGGGAGGTTTTCCACAACCTCTTGGAACAAGTCAGCTCCTATTAGCTATCCCTAAAGCTAACTTGTAAAGCAGACCGTTAGGTCCCCCTAGATTCTCTTCTAAAACATTGCTCAGTGACAACTATCAAATTTTCCTCAACTGTGATAGTTCTTTTGAAGTGTCAGGAGCCCTCTGAGTGACTCTAATTCGCACTTTCTCATCATGCATGATCACTTCAATGACAACTTTTGATCCAGAACATCTTTGTGGTTCCATTTGATATTTACTTCCAGGTGACAGTAAAATAAAGATTAACGACTTTGGGCTAGTTTTTGGTTAGTCATGTTCATACAATGAAAATGTAGAGTACAGTGTTCTACTCGGAGAATATTTTAGAGTCTCACTGAAAGCAAGCTGTATCTCATCTGCTATTTTGTACTTACCCAGCTGAGTACTGGGTAAAAAAGAGTTGTCTACCCTTTGAACAAACCAAGTCTGAGTTTGCCATCATGCTTAATCCTGCAAGTATGTACTTACGAAATAATTAACAACTTGTGTCATTTTTTCAAGGTGGGCAGGTAATGGCTAGACAGAACTTCAAGCTCTCTGAAAGCTTCTGTCTCAAATAAACCCTCTCAATGGTTCAGAAACAATTTATCTAGTTTGTAATTTGCTATAGGAACAAGTGTCAACAGCTTTTGTAATTTTCACATTGAAATAACCCTCAACCTATCTTTCTAATTTGAAATGCTTGTCCTTTTATTGTTTTAATAATTAGCTACAATTAATCATTGGGGGAAGATGAACAAAACAAAAAATCAAACAAGAAATATTTGTCCTTATCATCTCTTATTTAATAAAGAATACTAATATAATAAAGGGCATTTTACAATACTTTTGCAAGTTTTTCTTCTAAAACTAGAAAAAAGGATTTAAAAAATAGATGAAACCTAAGCAGATTCAAATGTGCGTTTTTMAAGTGATAATATTTTAGCAGCATTAAGCATATGTTCTTTAAGTTCTAGATCTAGAATCTCAGGTAAAATTCATTCATGAAGATAAAACATGTTCCACTTYACAACAAATAGCAGAGACATTCTAGACTTCCCATCCTACCCTTGAACTAAGGGCACTGGACTGTAATGGATCTTAGTTTGCTTCTCCTACCAAACAGGATAATATTTGCTTTCAATATTCACAATAAATACCTAAAATTCAACTGAGCTTAAAGTTTATTGTTGAGACTAGAAATAATAGAAAGTCCAGGTTCAAGTTTCTAAGTGATTGTTAGATGATAAAACCTTAGATGTGAGTAATCTTTTGCATTCCTTGCCTAATACTATTTATTGCTGTAGTTCTCAGACAAAGAGACAAAGGAATTCAGCACGTGAGTAACCACTAGCAGCCCAAACCAGGCAGTTCAAGAGCCAGCTCATTCTACCAGCAGCCCTACCACAAGAAATTTTAAGCCTATGAAGTGCTTGGAGGCGATGCAATTCACAGCTTTAATGACACAGAGATTTTTTGGCATGCCTCCTAACACAGGATCTTTAACTTTCACAAAAAAATCACACTACTGAATTTCTATCAACTTACAATCATGGTAGAGAAAACCTACTCATTCTTCACTCGTAACTGCAGAAAATCTTAGCACGGACAGGAAAAAAAAACCCTATTACACAACAGATATTGATTATAGGGTGCTGAAATCTCAAACGCGGCTATTTTATTCAAAAGGATAAAAAATTCATTTCATCTTCCTCATAGTTATTTCTGAGGAAAAAAGAATCTGAGGAGGAAACGTTTTTGTATATTCTTATAAATCCTTATTAATTTCAATTCTTCCATCTGAGACAGATCTCTATATAATTTGACTTGGACAGAATGAAAATTAGTCCCAATAATGCTTGTGCGGTTCAGAAGAAGAAAGGCATGGCCATAAGTATACCCTAAAGGTGACCCTAAGTATATCCTAAAGGTGGCCATGAGTGTACCTGAAAAAACTCGTGAATTCTGCTACAACATAAACAGGCAGACTTGAAAAGCTGCTCACTGGTTAGCCCACATATTACACTCATCTATGAAAACCAAAGGTTGCAGTTGGCCTGCACACAGAAMGTTTATCATGATCTGATTTCTTTTCACTGAAGACCACTACTGGCCTAAAAGCACAAGGGAAAAGTGGACAAGAATCATGTCTGATATCAAAAATGCATACAGATAGATAATTAAATCTTATATGGATATCAGAACATTACTCATCACATGTATGGACAGTAAAGAGACATCTTAAGACTTTAAAAATAATATAGGATATATACCACTCTTCAAATCACCTAGAATATATGGAGAGAAGTCAACACAATTACTATTTATTTACTTGTTAACATGGACAATAACTTACATTGAAGCGATTAAAAAATAAGAAAATATATTTAAGTCAATATTTAATAAAATACATGATTGAACATGGCACTATCACAGTAACTAGCCATTTAAAACAAGATTTTCATTTTCCCCATAGAATTTGTATTATTATGTAAAATACAACTCACTTTTTGCCTATCAGACTCTTCCATTTTCCAAACAGCTGACTCAAACYATCAGGTTTGAGGTTCTATTTCATTACACAGTACATGGACAAAATTGATAAAATCATATTTTTCTTTAGTCAATGACCATCATTGATAAATAACATTACTAAAGACACCAGGGATTTACAAAAGTTACTAACCAACCAAAAAATGAGAAAAAGCATAAACCTCTGATAAAGTTTTGTTTACTGGATATTGCTTTTTCTTCTCCTCCAAAATCTTTTAGATTAAGCACATTGACCCATAAGAAAATAAGCATATGTTGAAATATTGTTCATACTGAAAAACTAAAATTTATCAGTCAGAATTGAGACTCATTGCTCATTTGATTTTGTGATCACTTAAGGAAAAGAGACTTTCTGACATTAAAAATACATTTAAGGATGATGTRGTACATGGCCACATAAAATTCATTCAGTGAGTTCATACACATGTGGATGTACCCATATATTTGTATGAGCACACACTTCCACCCACATTTTTTTTAAAACTATGCTACAATGATGTTCCCCTGGTATTAAAATACAGATGTAGCAAACTCAACATAACTCACAGTTCAGCAACTTAAATTCCACAGATATTTTTACAGCCACCTTTCAACTTTTCTACCAGATGATTTCCTAAGCCTGATACCAAGTCTTTCGAGTCCTTTAAACTACTATAGAGATTTACCATAACTTACTAGCACACTGTTCCATAATTTTCTGGGAAAAAATGTCTAAAATATACAATCATAACTACAAATAATTAACCCTCGATAAAGGCTGACAAACAGACATGGAAATACCAACACCTGGAGGTAATTACCACAACCTAAGTTAGCAGCATTCTTCAGTGCAGTTCCTGAGATGTAATACTCTATGTACAACCATATTGAAATAACTGGTGCTAAATCAACTTGAAAAAGCTCAAATATCAAGAGTTTTGTTTAAATTACTAAAAGTTAAGGTCACTTCCATAAAAAAAGTTTTGGTTGAAAAGATGCTCATTTTGCATCTCCTGCATGTACTCCGTAATTTATAACTCAGCCTTCATTGTAACACAAGTTATAATATCGCTACCTTCAAAATCAGCATTTCTAAATTTTTTAATCCTTTAACTGCAATTAATTTCAAGTATCCATTTTAATTCCTGAAATAAAATAATTTGAACAGGGCACCCTATGATTAGGACTTACTTATAGCCAATTCACAAGAGCAGCAAAGCATTTCAAACATATATGACCATATTTTAAGAAGATTCTTRAACAACAGCATTTTACAAAATATCAGAAACTAGTGGGGTAAAAAAAGGCTTTTGTTGCTTTTTGTGAGCACAGTTCCCTTATTTCTTGGTGCCTCTTTTATATTTGTAATGTATGGGGAAATAAACGCACGTTCTCTTGGCTCCCACACACTCGCTTCTTTCATTCATAAAGAGTCACCACTCCAGCACTTTCTTTTGAGGCAATTCTGAAATGAATTTTCCCTTTGAAATCAAGATATGTTTTGTAATTTAGTTGCACGAGTATTTCTAATGCAGCATGATAATATCTTCTCACTTTCCAGCTCTATGTAGCAACTTACCAGGAGCGCGAGTACAGTAATTCACACAAGTTCTGTAGGATTTGTCGAGCACACGTCTGTTTGCAGCATCAGCATCTAGTGCTTCTGTATTCTCAGTGTTTTCCTCATGTGACATGTAATTTAATGGCATGATTTCTGGATGTTTAGTTGGCATGAAGTTCTTCTCTAACAGGACATCATTTGTCGGAACAGAATTTTCCCTCTTTTTCTCAGAAGGAGCATGAGGCTTGTAGAAATCTTCATCAGGGGTCTCTATTTTACTTAAACAGTCATTGCAGCAAACTTTGGGAGGCTTCTGTGATTTTTTGGGAACCAATATCTGTATCTCATTTGCATTAGATGATGAAAAGTAGTCTTCGTAAGACGCCTCCTCAGTGCACAAAGGCTTGTTATATGTAGTTATTGCTTGCAAGAAGTCCTTTTTGGACCCTGATGCAACCAATTCTGAGGCAGACAGTTTCAAATTAGATCGTAGCTTTGGTTTCTTCTTCCTTTTGTCTTGAAGAGTACAATCACTAACAGGAAGACTGCTATCAAATGAACTTACATTTAGGTCTTTTCTGCTCACTGATGAAACAGAGTGACTGCCAGTCAAAGCAGGAGTAGTATTTAACTGAAGTATTTTCTCAGAAGGAGTAACATGATCCAAGCCCTTAATTTGGAGAAATGAACTTCTGTTTGCAACTGAAAGGTTCACAGTATTTTCACAAATCTGATTTTTGTTTGCAAACTTTTTAAAGTCTTCCTTTTCTGGAGGCCATTTATCATCTAAAGTGTGCTGCAAAATCTGTTTTTTACCTAAGCATCTCCTGCTAGGTTGCTTTGGGGTTAAGACTTTCTGGTCAGAGCTACGTGAGGGAGAATTCACTAATCCACTCATGGAAATTTGTCTGTCACTTGGAGTATTACAGACTCTTTCAGCTACCTCTGTTCTCCGTCTTTTGAATTTATCAGTTCCCCAAAGATCATCAAAACTGGAATTTAAGCAGTCTTCCATCTGCTTTTCTGCAAAATACAAAGAACAACAAGTTAAACATTTAACATAACAAACAAGGAGTGAAATTTCTTAGTAAAACAAATATGAAGTTGTTGACAGAATTATACAAGTATTTAGCTATATATTTCTAAATTGTGGCCAAGTTAATAACAGAAATGAAACAGAAAATGGATTAGACAAAAATCAAGTTGTATGGTGGCAAGGAGTAATAGGTCATCCCCAAATTCCCTTCTACTTCTTTAAAACAGAGAAACAGAGGAACTCATTCTTAACTMTGTGGAGAAAATAGCACATTTACATTGATAAAGATAACTATCATAATACTGAAGGTTAAACAAGTATTTTTGCTACCACAGCATTACCACCATGTTGTTTTTTCCCTAGAGTTAAGATGAAATTAAATACAACATAATACTGCCCCACATACATCTAAATAATATATTAAGGAAATTGAATATGAAAAAATACATTATTTCTCATTGTCATTTTCAAGAAGCAATTTTACAATGAATCAGGGGTGACACGGGATCTATTTGTAGCTCTTTGTAAAATATTCCTTTGGGAAAGTCCAGAACCTGTAATTATTTAGAATATGTATTTAAAGACATCTCTCCTGTACTCTGAGGTCTTRCACTCTAATATTTATTGCAATTAATATTTAGATTAATATGCACTGGGAAGGTGCAAAGCTGCAACAACATTCCTGCTGTAATTGCTCCTGTAGGTTTTGGAAGTCTCGACGATATTCGCTTACTAAACATAAATAATACTTGTCAGCATACAGTGTAGGCATCTAAATTCAGAAAAATGAAAGACAGAGGTTTAAAGTTACATGATCAGACACCCAAAATGACAACCGAAGTTGTCATTTACATCCATTTAATTCATGAACTCTAATTGGAGTGGATTCCTCAACTCTTTTAGTCAGTATTAACTAGTATACTCTCCTATGTCTCACAAATGCAAACAAAAGGATCCGCATCAAAACCAGTGTAGAAACTGTGCTGCAACTCTTTAAGAGATAGGCAGGTTTTTCTTGATAAAATGACACTGCACAGTTAAAATGTTGGGAACAAACTCAAGATAAAGCTCTCAGATAAAGTCCAATCTTATTAGCACTTTATCAGCACGTGATTAATTCACCAAGAAAAAGACTTTGTTGGCACAGATATGCTGCTTCCAAAATTGAATTACTACGCCATAATACTCTGTTTAAAAATAGCCATGAGTGTCTGTCTAGTTTTTGCCCCCATTCTCATTTAAGGCACAGCGGCAAAATTTCTGTATGATGCCAATAAAATACATCATCTGAAAACACTTCAAGCTACAACTTATTACCATGGTAGAACAGAAAACTAGTCAGGCCACCTAAGGGCCCCCTCATAATGAAKTCTAAAAGCTACAGTCAATCACTAGTATCTGACTGCTGTTCATGTTTCAGCCACACCAAAGAGATCTGAAGTATAAAATGAATAAAGATGCACACTGATGTGTYTCAACCTCCCTCAGAGGAGCCATTTCCCTTAAGTTCTAGCACTAAGATGAAACAGATCTAGCTTCCTGAGTGTCCCAGTAAGAATCCTGATAACATGAACTATTCAATTCATGTGCAACCTTAAAAAAAGAAACCAAAAGTTGATTTATTTTTGTTCTTGTCATATGCACTTTTGTCTTCACTTGCTAAATATTTAAGCTCGCCAACACATTTGGTTGTCTTCTAACTTCAAATTTTCCATGGTCCTCATCCATAAAATATTTCGTATCTGCATTAACATTCGAACAATCATCTTTATCTTTTTTGCTTCCTAAATCATACTGTTGAACATATACATTGTGTTCTACACACAGAACCACTGCAAGAATAAAAAAACCCTCATAGGGCAACAAGCTAGATGTGAACGGGATAAGGAAAGCAGAGGAAATGACCCAATCAACCCAGCAGTAACACAGGGAATTTACACTAAGTGATCTCTCGTGCTCCATGTACACTAATTTAGTTGTACTACCTTATCAGTTAAGAAAATTGAAATAATCCAACTTYAAATGATACAACAAACACAAATTTCTATTTCAGTTCCTATACAACTGCACATTCTAAAGGAAAACACAGGAGCAAAGGTGTGTTAGTTACCTGGCAATGCATCTGCTGAATGCCAGCCGGCTCCGATGCAGGTTGGCAGGGGGCCGTCTTGGTCTTCTTGTGCGTTACAGGGAGGGGTTGGAGACATCTGCGAACCTACAAAGTGATGGAAAAGACCCCTTAGCCCCATTTGGAAATAGACCTGTCCACATTTCATGGCATCTAATCATATTCCAGACAGCTCAACGGTTAAGAGATGAATGATTTACTAACTACAAACATACAAAAGCTTAGATAACTTAAAATAACACCATCAAAAAAGTTGTTTTRTAGTCTATAATTTATATCCAACTTCTAGAAAACCCACAACCACTTTTTTCCTCAAAATCAAGAGAATTGATAGAGGCATTTCTAAGCCATCTGAGGATTTTTAACAAAATAAACTGCCATATTCTGCAATAAGCAGTAATGTCTTGATATAGCAGAAATGCTTTTCAAAAATTTTGAAGGTATTTATTACTTTAACACTTCAGAAGAAAACATACAGGCCATGCTAAAATAAATTAGGTTTAATTTCTTATCAGTGTCACTGGATCTTTACATTCTTTCCATACCATTATTTGAAGTTAGAAACTCAAATTATAGCTGGTACAGATTTTTTGATACTTCAAATATTACAATACTATCTTTTTTTTTTTTTCTTTTAAACACTAAACTACACAAACGAGACCTCATTCATGCTTTTGCTGAAAGGTAACACTAACACAGAGGAATATTTGTGTCCAAACGAGTTGAAAGCCGAAATCTAGTCAAAATTCAAAGTAACTAGTGAATTATAAAGTTAGTTGAATTTGTTCAACTCTATTTTTAAAGTTCATTCTTCAGTACCTAAAGACACAGCTTATGAGTTTTGGACTCCTTTTGAAGCTGTTGCTCTGGTAGCATGGAAGTACAGCAGTACCAAAAAAATCTGTTTACTTGTTGAAATAAATACCACTCTAGAAAAACAAACAAGCAAACAAACACACAAAAACCACAAAAAAAATCTAACTTGGCAACATGGATTTTTAAAACTCAGTACTTTCGGTAGTTTATAACTAATTATCTAAGCCTTCCCATTACTTTAAGGGAATACTACATATCATACTGAGTACTTCAATATAGGTCTTAATTCCTAAACAGTGTAATTTGAATTTTGCAAAGTCAACACYCCAAGTCTTAATATTAAAACTTAACAAGAAATAAGATTTAAGAATCTTGCARTAAAATTGCAATAATCTACAAGTTTAGGAAGTCCAATTTATATATTCATACCCTTGAAGACTCTTTTGACTGTTCAAGAACTCCTTTTTATAAAGGAATGAAAATCGTGTTCCATGAGAACTTCTTCTCATGCCGTTGCAATGGAAGAAAACTAAGATTTAAAGCATCTGCATCTCCTGGAAAGGAGAACGTGCAGCCAGACCGTTAAGTCTGGGGCACCGAGTTCACAGAAGGGCTCAGCTTCAAAAGCTCCCTGATGCTTGGCTCAGTTCTAATCCAAATGATACTCAGACTTTGGATCCAGTCAGCATACATAAGAGGCACTTGAGGCAAATCAAAACACAAAGCAACAGCTGTAAATAGAGAATTCTTCAAATGGGCAGAAACACAGTACTAACACTGATCTGCAGGAGGAAACAAATATCACCTATTCTGTGTACACCATTTAGACTAGCAACACAGCCAGCTATACAAAAGCTTAACACTAGCTAGGTCAGAGATTCAAAGCCCCAAAGGGGAAGCCTTCATTTTGGAGAGTTATGGGCACTACTGCACTAGTGGCTTTAGAAATGCTTATCCYTGTAGTAACAAACCCCAACTGACTTTGACGGTACCAACTCATGATCCCATTTCATTAAGATAGACTAGGAAGTCACGTCTAGTTTAAGTATGCATGCCTTTCTGAATAAATATTTTCTTTCAAGATTAGCAAATGTTTCAAGTTAAGCAATGTATGGGGGGGGAGGGGGGGGGGGAAAAAAAGAGAGAGAGAGAGAGAGAGAGAGAGAGAGAGAGAGAGAATAAAAAGAAAAGCAAGACAGGTAAAAGTGCCAAAATCCCACAATATATAGGGCAGTCACTTGTGCTGGTTTACGAATCAGTAAAATTTAAATTCTTACCAGTAAGGGACAGATTTTCTCTCTTTTCTTTCATTTCCTTTATTCTTCTTTCCATTGCACTGCATTGATCTTTTATCTTATTAACGGGGCTATATGCAAGGGAACCATCATCTTCAAATAATAAAATTGGTATATCAGTTTCTACACAAAGAAAATACATTAATCAGAATATTGTATGTACATGTTAATGTTTGTAGAAGTTTTTACAAAAACTGAACTTAAGTTCTACCTACCAACACCAATACATGTGCCTTGACAAACATGCAAACAGCTCCATAAAACTTTTTTTTTTTTTTTTTTTTTTTTTTTTTTTTGTGAGATGCATAAAAACCCCTATGGAAATCTACTCCGAGAGTTTTAAAGAAATAACTTCAAGATATTTGAATCTTGCAATATAGTAGCTCTTACCAGAATTACTTGCTGTTCTCTGTTGAGCTAATTCTTTAGCCAGTTGGTCCAGTCTCCTCTGCATCTTTCTGTCATTTTCTGGAGTTCTTTCAATGAAGTCTTTTGGTTGCATACATTTGTGCTACAAGACATATGAAACTATTAAGTATATTCTGTAAAAYCATCAAAAGTGCCCACTTGTACCCATCATTTTATCACAGTATTATTCAACTTATTATCCACATTATTTATAATTATCTCCTTGTGAGTAACTAGAGTTAACTTTTTCCAAAATGTATTTTAATACAACGTAAGCAGAAAAAGGCTCTCAGAGTGCTTTGGTTAGACTGTGCCACAAGCCTAAGGGTTTTTTTTTCCAGCAAAGGTAAAGCTTAAAGATGACTTTTTCACTCCTGACCAAATATCAGGATTTAAAGATCTGCTGCAAGTCAATGAAACACTACCCACACTGCAGTCATTCTCACATTTTTAAGTCAACTGTCATTAAATTAAAATTTAAACTTTATTTCCATTTCTCTATTCACAAACAGATGACCTCTGCTTTTACTACCCTTTTGTCAGATAAGAGGTTAAATCACCGTAATTACTAGCTACCTTTAAAACCTGCTCAAATGGATAGACACTGTTTACAGCACCTTTAAATAAACAAATAAATAAAATGCCTGAAGCCAGAGAGACAAGTTCAAAATTGAAGGTTTGCTTCATTTTTTTTTTTATTTTTTTTTAATTATTTACTCACTTTTCTAACCAGTAAGGGTAGTCCTTCATTAGTGCATGCTGCAGGAAATAAAGATTCATCAACATGCTCTCCAGTTTCTCGACATCTGTATAATAAATTAGAAATAGATTAGATAGAAATAAATTAGAAAGTCAGAACCATTTTTTAGGACGASAACCTTTACTGCAAAAGTCCAGTTGCTATATGAGAAGCACCAACTGTTCCTAAGTTTGCTTTTAATATTACTATTGCAATGGTAAAAAAAAAAGAAATCTAGGGACGACGATCTATATTTACGCAGACTTATTTTTCAACCAAACTTACAACTTACTCCCGGATTTTCCTGCCTTTTTGTGTTCACTGACTTAAGAACATAGGAAAAACTGTCATCTTGGGGTATGACTATATGAACCATGGCTCACGACCATAGTTGTGAACACTGTGGAAAGTGCTGAGACAAGAATTTGGTTATTAATGTAGAATTCCTTGCAAAAAATAAAAAAGGTGGGCAAAAGGTGAGCTTGACCAAAACTGCTAACTGTAATTTCATTCCTGAACTTTTTTTATTTAAAGAGAAAAAAAAAAAAAAAAAAAAAAA